ATATTGCGTTAAACAAAAAAAAAAAAAAAAAACGTATAAAATTTTCTCACAAATAACAACGGATATATATTCAAGATAGATAAAATTATTAGACTATTCCGTGCATAAATCTAACAGAATCCAACCAGATATATGCATTTCCTTTGATGCAGATGGTGCACAGCAAGACAATACCAGTCGATAATCCCACTAATCACTAAATCAATATAGCTTTAATTGCGCGAGCCCAGAATTACGCATCGAACAGAGCAACCTTATGAATTTCCTTCCTCCGTTCTACACATTTTTTCCAGCCAATCCAATCCACGAAACCCGTGTCATAAAAATAGGAAAACCATCATGAAACACGAGCAACTTCGTCGAAAGAAAAAAAAGAAAGAAAAAGAAAAAATATGAGAATCACTTTGCAAATTTACCCGCGTTCGAAAATGAACGAAATGAACGAAAAACGCTCCTCGACACCAGCGCCGCGTCGCGGCGATCAATCATCTTAATAGCGTCGAAGATCGCGCGTAAAAGGAGGCGAGGAAGTGGGGGAGTGGCGCGATCAACGATGAACTTAAATGGAAAACTCGACGGATGAACAGGCGCCGATTCATCAAAGTCTCAGGTCCGCCGACGGAATCAATCTTCTTTCGCTCGTTTCGGGACCGATACTCGAATTCCTGTGGAAAACGAGCCCGTCGCTGACGGCCCGTGAGATTTATTTATCGCGTGGAAATTGCGACGGCGACGGGTCGATCGAAAAAATCGCGGTTAAACGAGGGAACGCTATCGTCGATTTTGCGTATCGATTTGAAATACCGTCAAGTTCTGTATATATTGTTGATGTGATTTGTGAGGGCACTTTTAGAGGGTCGTTTTTTTTTTCTTTTTTTGAGATTGAAACAAGTAAAATAAAAATTTATGTGTAAAAAAATATCTTCTTACGTCTCTATTCTTCTAGAAAACGAGATATATTAGGTTTTTATTTTTAGGTAAATCTAGAATGTTTATATTAATTTCTTTTATTAATATTTTTTCATGTCATTCATTGGTTTGATTAAGAAGAATACAGCTCCAATCAAAAATCTTA